TATTTCTCTCTTCTTCTCCCCAGGCATCATTAAGAAAAGAATTTCTTACAAATGCTTTAATATTCAGGCGTGGGTTCAAGTGTAGAGCAATATCCTTTGATTTTCCTGCTATTAGATCAACATTAAAGCTTTTGAAAGGGAGGAAAAAAAGGAACCCAGTTAACCAAACAGAAGAGTAGAGGAAAATTCTACAATTTTAATAATAAGGCTTGAACTGTGTTTATAACATGAAACATGCATGCACATGGACATAGGATGCGGGGAAAGGTGAAATTTTCAACTCAGCATTTCACTGACATGTGCAAAATGAAATTACTAAAAAAAGTCAGTGCTGAGAACTAGAGCTGGCTGGGAGAAACTGAAGGCTGGGAGCCAGGGACCCTTCATTCTCGTCATTTCACATGTAATTCGTATTCCCTGCTCTCCTACCGTTCACCTGGCAACAGGACCCTGGCCCCCTCACCTCCCCTAAAACCGTCATGGGTACAAGGAACAGGCATAGGTGGCAAGTCGTGGCACTATTACTAGTAACAGCAACACTGACCTTTTGGCCTTCGTATTCACTTCTCCTTTAATGACAACAGTTCGTCCAGGGCCCATGGGGGAATTCAACCTTGCTTCGAAGGGCAGGGTCTGAAAAGAAGCTACTGTCAGAACCATGAAGCTGGAGGAAGGGACCTCATGAGAAAACTGTCCAAAGAACACTGGGGCTGACTGAGTGCCTGTGAACTTGAGGAGGGGAGAGACTAGATCTGCTCTGGTCCCAACTGGGGCCCTGAAGCAGCACTGCACCCGGCTCACAGCATCCACTTAGTTATACCACAGAAACAGTAGACACGCACTGGGACCTGAGGCCATGTTTGGGTGACAATGGCAGAGTGGCCAGTGTTGGGGTCAGAGGCAGTGCTGTGTCCTGCCTGGAGGGGCTGGTGGTGGTGAGGGAATGCTCTTCTGTGGCTCAGTCACAAGCCTGGTTTTCACAAATCTGTCCAGTGACAGCACACAAACGTGAGTGGCTTTGGGCTTCTACTGGGGTGTGGTTTACATGTAACAACAGCCAATTAATTTTTATACAGAGTTAAGGCAATTTTGGGCTCTTCAAACCTTTGATAAATAGTTGATAGGTAGTATTTTGGTGCAAGTCATACTGTGAATGACAGTCTAATCTCTGTTCTTGGTGTAGGTGGATTTTGGTACGATTTTAGAAATGTCTCCTCTATTACTAGGCTGCAGGGAAACAGTTCTACAGTGAGGCATGGAAAGAATGAAGCTGCCTTCCAAGGTTAAACTTCACTTTCTAGGCAATTTTAGAAAATGCTCCATGTGGAATAACCAGGCAAAAATACTTACAAACTGTGAAATGCCAGACTTTTGTACCTATGGAAAGAGAAATAAAAATGAAAACATTTATAGGACAGATTCACATTCTATTAACATTGGTGGTAAGAATGACTGTTTACACAGTATAGCCCCTCGAATTCACAGTTCAGAGTTATGGCCTCAGTTGTTTGCAGATTTTTCCTTAGAACCTAACTAATAATTGTTCGCAGAAACCCCACAATTTTGAGGAAACTGCAAATATCCTCCGCAGTTGTTTTTTTGGGGGGAGGTTTATAAGTAGCCAATTTGAGAGCGCTACTCAGTTCTCCTTGCTGCTGATTGGCTGCTGCCTGTAACCCATCTCTGGCAGATGCACCAGCAATCCTGTATCATAACAGGTGCTGTACCCTGTATAGCTATCTGAGTGTTCTTTGTTTTGTTCTTAAAGCCCTAAGTTCCCCCAAGATGCTGCCAAAATGCCCTGCACCTTCTAAGGCTTTATTAATACAGTATTTTATTAAATTAAATTACATAACTGGGGGGGGCATAGCATATTTAGGGTTTAAACTATACAACAGGTATTTATAGGCATTTTTCTGACCATATCTGAAATTTGCACTTCTTTACAATTGGCAGGTGCTCTTGGACCATAACTCCTGAGAATTTCACAGGTCCACTGTACTCTGCTGAGCCTGGCCAGACCTGGGTGTGACATACAAGACAGGTGCTGCTTCCTGACTGTGCTGTAGAGCTATGAAAGGCTCCATGGGCTGGAACAAAGTCGAACAGTACCATCATCGGAGTCCTTTATCCTTCACCATCAAACAATAACTTTTCCCAGGACTACACATGAACTTCAAACACATCTTACTTATTCTTTCCAAAATGCTGAGATTATATTCTATCAGCAAAGTGTGATTGTGCTTAGAGGGTTAAGATCTCATTCTGTCCATTAAAAACACAAAGATACAGTCTTAAAACTGTATTTGTTCCCAGAGGGGGAGAAGATACTTGGTCAAGTTCACCTGCAATGCACTGACTGATGCACAATATTTACAAATGCCTTATGCTAGAACATTCTACAGTTAGGAATGAGAGGGTGTTTCACATATGAAAATGGCTGCTGATGATCATGTAAACTGACAGGTTAAGCATCAATGAAAACTGAGAGTGCCTGGGACCATAAGATGTGCCTCCAAATGACTGCTATCTTGGCCTCATATTAAAAACGTAATTTTTTAAAATCCAGTCTTCCTCCCATCTGATGGCAACTAAAAAGATTATTTTATGTAAGTACCATGTGCTAAGTGACTGTGCCACTGGAGCGCCTAAAAAAACTATTTTAAACCCGAGGTTCATTAAAAGATTTAATGCTTACATTTTCTCTATTTATGTTTGTCAGTCCTAGAGTAGATGCTTGGGTACTTTGTAAATCCTAGAGAAAAGATAATACAGATTAATTTTAACATCCATCAGGGCATTTTTGCTAAAAAAAACCCCAAAACAAACAAAAAACCTGTTCAAAGTGTCAAAAAACTTGAAATGACACTAAATGAAAAAATTTGCTTGAATACTATTCAAAAATGCACGGACATAGGCCCTTCCTCCAAACTGGCAAGCATTAGGGAATAAGGTCTATTTTCCAGCAGGCACAGGGTAAGCAGATGGGCACAGCTGCTGAGAGTGCAAGTGGTATTCACCTTTGGGGGGCAAGTGAGTAGCATCCAGCAAAACTGAAAATGTAGATACTCTGCTCAGACAATCCACTTCTAGGACACTGTCTTACAGCAGTGCTCCGTCATACTGCCATGTAAAGTAAAGATACCCTATATGGCTAAAAAGGTATTTGTTTTGCTAGGACCATTCCTGGTTTTTAGATCCCAGACAGGAAAGCCCTAGCAATGAATACCATCTGACCAGTCTAAAAGAGTCACAGATAGTTACATTATCTTTATCTTAATAGAAGATGTTAATCGAAGTTTTCTGACATTCCATCAGAAAATGTAAGTCAAAAAAGACCCTGAGCTATGTGTGGAAGGACACTCACCGAGCTGAATCTAAAGCCAACTGAGTGAACATTCACGTGGTCATAAATGCCCAGTGTGTCTATTTTCTCTAGCTTAATCCTGTGGGCATAGAGCAGAGTATGTTTTCCATTCACAGCCACCTGGACAGACACAGAAGACAGGGCCCCCAAAACACTGTTAAACAGATTACTTATCCAAAGTTAAATGTTTCCTTGGGTTTAACTCTATACCTCCTCCCACAGGAATCTACATACAGCTGACCAAACTGGCCGAAAGCAGCAGCCACCCTAGCAGGGCTCCTGCACCTTTGGGTTCCTGCTTTGGATCTGATAAACTGTTGACCTAGATCATCTCTCCACAGACAGACATCAGCATTCAGGAGTATAAGCACATGTGTGTGTGCACACCTGTGCAGGCACAGGACCTCTGCAGGGCCAGAGGCCGCCTGGGGACCCCACACAGGTTCCCAGGTAAGATCTGCCCACCTGGTCCCCCACACTGTCCTTGAGGCCCACATTCTAACATTCCCAACAGATCCAAGACTTGGGTTTCCTATCTGTATGTAGGAACAGTCTCAACCTCAACAGGACACAGCTGTGTGGAAACAGTGACAGTATCTTCTGTGAGTCAGAAGCCACCCTTGCTCCTTCCCCTTCTCTCCAAATGCCAGAGACCCTGTTAGGACATGTGCAGGAAACACCAGCAGCACCCAGGAGTGTCTCTGCCTCAGGGAGCTTAAATGGGGTGGGGGTGGGCGCGTGACAAACCAAACATAATAGGAAAGGGACAACCATGAAAACGAGTGACACAGACACCAGGCTGGAAAGGCAAAAAAGGTAAGGGCAAGGGACAGAGGACCTGCACCAAGACATGATAGTCTGCACTTGAGTCGAGGGAGCTCCCAGTCTAGGAAACTCTTGAGGACTTGAGGGCCAGCAAACATAGGAGACTGTAAGACTAACTTCCGCCTCACACACACGCATAGGTAGGAAATACTCTAGGATGTCAGGGACAGCACGTACTGGATCCCCTCTGGATCCTAAGGAACTATCCTTTGGCAAGACCTGACCTCACAACCCTTCTTGTCTACAAGCTGGAGTTCCCACTTGTCTGTTCCCCAGGATGCCCCACACTTTGGGCAGTGGTGGTTATAATTCCCTCCCATAATAATATGATTTGGTGTAAATTCAGAACTCAGCCCTACAGGGAACACACAATTGGAAGATGTGGCCACAATGGGAGAGAGGGCAGCAATGCCTGGCTCACACTTTGGTACCTGCCTGGTTCTTTAGAAGATGACAGAGACTGTCTTAGAAGTAAGGCCTGGGGGGCACACTCAGCATGGGAAGAGCCTCCTGTGCCTTATCCTCTAATGAGGAGTCCCCATCCTTTTCCACAACCCACCTGGAATTTGTCCTTCAGCACCATGATCGCGATTTCAAAAGATTTTTCTTTTTGGAAGGGCATGTCATAGGTGATCTCTTCCCATCCCCACCTTTCATTTGTCAGAGTGTTGCAGACAATGTAGTTGGCCCGCTTGAAGCGGGGGTTGAAGTGAAAGGCCACATCGGCCCGGGGCTTCGTGCTGCTGCCACACTGCAGGTCCACCTGGAATCTGGGGGATAGAGCAGGAAGCATGTGAGCCCTAGAAAGCAAGTGGCAGGGAAAGCCCAGCCAGAATCAGCCTCGAGGCCAAGTGACACATGACTGACTCCTTGTCCCTTCACCTGCAAGGCCTAAACAGCTACTCAGCTCATCTTTCTTTCTTCCTCATAACAAAGCCCCTGAATCTGAACAGGGTCCAAACAGGTGCAGAATAAAAACCTCCCTCTTCCCACTCCCTGGAAGCTAGGCCTGTCTGTATGGTCACAGCTTGGCCAAAATAGAAGTGAAGTACCTCAAAGGCAAGCAAGCACTTGCCCTGTATCCACTCAACTCCACCCCATCGCCACACACACTGCCCGGCTGCTCAAAACACAGATGAGGGCTGGAGTTCGAGTGGCTGAGACCCTGAGAAAGGCCTGTCTCCCAGGGAGAAGAGCATGAGATCCAGGAGCCAGCTTCTCTAGTGACCGGATGGGAGTTGACAAAGGCTGGGGTATCTCCTTGAGACACTTCCACATTGTAGTTAACCCATGGATGCCTGAGTGTCAGCCACACAGAGCTGGGCCCAATCTTAATTGACACTGAGTTCACAGCTGGTACCCAAGGCAAGCAGAGGAAAGCCAGCTGAGAAGAGCCTAAAGAGATGCTGCTGCAGGGATGTTAGACTATCCTGAGGCTGCCTCCCTCACAGCTGGTTCTTTATACTGAAATCAGATTTTTACAATGAAGTAAAAAACCCCAGTAATTTCTAGTCAGTCATTTATTCCCACTTAATCACTTTTATCCCCACTTGGTGGGGCTGTTGATAAAAATAAATCCGGCCTCAAAATATCACAACGATCTCCCTCACATTACTTTTCATTGTTATTTCACAATCACAGAAAAACAGCTGACTCATTTTCTTTCATCTAACAGTGATTTTACCGCTCAGCATGACTAGGAACACGGCCACGGATGACAATCAAGGATCCAGGCTCCAACTGCTCAGAAATGGTGCCAACATAGGGGATGGTCTAAGGAAAAAAATGTTAACAGATGTACATTAACACAAACAAAATTTCTCACCAAGCAATTATAACCAAACTCAGATATAGAGAACAACTACATTTTTTAAAAGCTGCACATAAATTGCTCAGATTCTAGAATTGTCCAAGGCATCTTTACTATTCAAACAGCTACAAGGAACAACAGGTCTAAGATATTACAATATCTGCAAACTGCAGAGTTCTTTGGAAAAAGACACAAGATTGATAGTTTTTATTTGGCTGTGGGCTTTGTGAAATAAAACTTTCACCTAATATGATTAAGTCCCTGATTTAGGAATGAGTTCCATTCCGGGAGAATATCCCTAAGTCAGATTCGTTCCTAAGTCTAACAAAGTGAGTCTTACACACCTTTGACACAAATATACAAATATTGCTTTGTTCTTCCTACCATCCCCTCCACATCACCACTGCTTTTCCTCTTGCTTCCAGACATCCTGGGGTCTGACTTGAGCACTGTACTACTGTACACGACTGCGCTGTACAGTAAGCACATAGCAGTACAACTGTGACAATGTTAAGCAGATATGTGAGCTGCTTCTGTGATGTGTTCACATCTACGAATATTCATAATTCAAGGTCTGTTTGTGTCTGTGAAAGTCTACAACTCGAATATTCAAAAGTCCAGAACTTACCGTAATCTGATAACGGGAAAAAAATTGGTTGGCAATCAATCCTCTTAGCATAAGGGACAGAAATGTGATATTCTGTTTAGTTATCAAAAATCAGACTCTTTCTGAAAAATGCCTCTCATGTGACATAGACAGAGGTGTGTGACAGCATTGCCCACCAGAACTCCCAGCTCAGGCTTTAAGTTGAACTAGTGTTAGTATGAAGCCACAATGATGCACAATTCACTCTGGCAAGAGGGCAATGGCTACACCAGGGCCAGAAGCAGTAATGGCATTGGTATTGGCAGTGTCAAAGTACCACCTGTGTCTAGTGGTGATACAGATGTCTCTTCATGACAGCAGTCTTCTGGTGTGATTTTCTTGGGTTGTCTGTGGCTATGTCGTCTCCAAGCCTGGCTCCTCAGTCCTCCTAGAGTCTGAGAACTACTCAGTATCATTTAACAAATTCCCTTTCTGCTTAGAGTTGGCTTTTCTTTCTTGCAACTACTAACCCTGACCAATTCAACATCTAAAGAAAATAGGGCAGTAAGAGTCAAATGCTTCAGGAAAATGTGATAAAGGACTTCAACAGAGGTGGCCAAAGACACTCTAAGAAGCGGGTCTGACATGTGTTGGGTACAATGTGTTTGAGAAAGAGGGCACCGGTGGCAGTTTACAAAGGCAGAGAGGCAGGAGACAAAACCTACTGGGGAAAGAGGAGGTAGCCTGGGAGCATTAAAGAAAGGGAGGTCCAGGATCCGATTCTAGAATGAGAAATGAAGTAGAGTTCAGGAGCACCAGTCCAGGGGGCTGGGAGACTGCTGCAGGGAGCCTGGCAGGAGGTACTAAGGACACGAGACAGGTTGTTGGCAGTGGACACTGACTGGGCCAGGGCAGGGAGACAGATACAAGGGATATTTCACAGAAACTGTCTACGTAGAGCTACCAAGTTGATAAAACTGGGAAGGAAACAGTTCAGAAGAAAGGTGATGACTCTAGTTTTAATCCCTTTTAGTGAGAAGGGCTCACAGGACATCTAAAAGCAAGTCTACTGAACAGAGTTAGATTCAGGACCACACAGCAGGTGGATGCTCAGCATTCATATTCACAAGGCTGAGTAGAAATAATTAACATAGATATCTAAGTACATAAACTCAGAAGCTGGGCATGGTGGCACGTGCTTATAATCCCAGCACTCTGGGAGGTGGAAAGAGGAAGATCTGAGTTTGAGCCCAGACTGGGCAATGGAGTAAGACCCTGTGTCAAAATAAAAATTTTAAAAATAGGTCTGGGGATGTAGCTCAGTGCTAAGGTCCTGGGTTCAGTCCCTACTACCAACGAAGGAAGGCAAGAGCTGAGAGCTGAGTTGGGAGGCAAAGCCTCAGTGAGTTTCTGACATTAGGAGATATCCGTAGAGTAGTTACTATGAAGAGCCTGACTGCTTCCCTTGAAAGGCCTCCTTACCGTGGCTGGTACCTAGATGTCCCCCCAAAACCTGAGGCAATCATAGGTGGGGCTTTTCGGCTGTACTCATGTGAATTTGAATTAAGGGTGTGATAACTAGATTAGCCCACTGATTGGGTTAGCATTGTTCTGACTATAGGTAATGGGAAGGCCCACACTGGCTGTAGGTGGTACCAACCAATAGGCTTGTAGCCAGGATGGAATACAAAGGGACAGAAAGAAGGCAGGCTTGCTGCTGCTTCCTGACTGCCTTGCTGTGGACTGCTTCTCCTCTGCCACATCTCTGTGCTGTGCCACCCTGCCTTGGAGATCATTAAAGCATCACCTTGTCTTTTCTTTTTCTTTTTTTTCAGTTCCGGGGATCGAACTCGGGTCCTTGCGCTTGTGAGGCAGGCGGCAGAACCACTGAACTAAATCCCCGGTCCCTGCCGCCCTGCCTTGGAACCAGATGGCTATGACTGAAACCTCTACAAACTGTGAGCTAAAATAAACCTTTCCTCCTTTATATTGTTGGGTATTCTGTCCTGGGAATGAGAAAGTAACTGAGACAGTACCTAAACTTGAAATTTTAGGAGGCACCTACCTAAGCAATAAGGATAGATGCCTGTACCTAATTGTTAATGCAAATATGATTATGCTGAACACCTGCTTTTCGGTGAGTCTGGAACTGTGGTATGTGCACAGAAGAGGGTGCTTATGTGACCAGTCCCCAGTAAAAGCCCTGGGCACAAAGAGTGTCTAAAGAGCTTCCCTAACAGCATCTCATAGGTGAGTCACACTTGGTGCTGGAAGATTTAAGACAACCTTAGAATACTGTCCTAGGTGTTCCCTGGACATTGACCCCTGTGCCTTTTCCCTTTGTGGTTTTGCTCTATGATCTTCTATTGCAATAAATCATAGCCATGAGCACAATTCTCTGCTGGTCACCAAAGCTGGGTGTCCTTGGGGAGTTCAGCACAGGGGTAAGGAGAGAGAAGGAACTGTCAAACCAGGGCCCTGAGTCCTCTTTCAGAACCAGGAGGAAGAAATGTTGACAAGCAGCTTATTAACCTAGAGAAACAACCCGTCTGTCTAATCTCTAAGTGACTTTTAGCCAGCTAGCATTTAATCACACCTTAAGAACTCTATAAAGACGAACAATGGTAAAATGTACAGGAAGATAATGAACTGCCAGAGAGATTTCACTGGTAGCTTCTCTGGTCTGAACTTAACTGTCTTCCAAATAATTTGTTCTATTTGAATGGCAAAAGCCAGACATGGTGCACTCCTGTGATCCCAGCCCTTGGGAGACTGAGGCAGGAGGAACACCATGAGTTTGAGGCCAGCCTGGGCTACATAGTGAGTTCAAGGCCTGCCTGACCTATATAATGAGATGCTGTCTCAAAAAAACAAAACAAAATTTGAATGAAGAGAAAAATGCACTTTATTTTTTAAGTCTTATATTCTGTCAATGGAACTTGAAGCAATATGCCAAATAAGAAAAGATACATAGGCCAATTATAACATCTTTCCAAGAAAAGTTAATGTGGACAGTTGTCACAAGTACAAACCAAAAATTTTAAAACATTAATGAAATAAAAATCAAAAGATGGTAGTTGTGCTTTCATAATGCCTGACATATAGTAGAGATGCAACAAACACTTCTCATTGTTTGAACTGGTAGCCAACACACAAAACCATGATTTAAAAAATAAGTTTTTCTGGGTCTAGTTTATATAATATCCTAGTTGATTAACTTAAAATATCTAAGTTATTTGCAGGTTCTTTTTTTAGAGGAGGAGGTCTTTTGAACACAGGAAGGTCAAAAAACTACAAACAGAACTAGATACTATACACATTTAACGAGAAATTTAAAGACAGAACAAAATGTTATTTTTGCCACCCAGTGCAGTTTGTCCACCTCTCCCCTTTCATATCCCTTTGTCAGAGGTGACTATAAAAGAGAGAACTGCGGGGGTGGGGGTGGGGGTGGGGGGGTGTTGCCACATCTCTCAGAAACACATGATCTTGGACTATCACAGAACTGCACCGCCCACGTTCGGGGGCCTAACAGCATTTCCGGGTCCCTGGCAGCACTGCTTCTCCTGACTCCTTGCTTAAAGTCTACTTATTTTGTTCCAACTCTGCAGTCAAGGGTGCTGACTCTAGAAGTCACAAGAATCACCCCGTGCTAGAATCAAGACATGCAGGGATTACAGTCAATAAAAATTCTTTTCTAACTAACATTTAAGTAAGGCATCTTTTTGTGTGAAGGGCAGGAGTGGGCAGTGTAACCTGACCATTCCCTCTGCCCTCCAACTTGGGCCAAAGTGACATACTTAACTCTCCCTTGGCAAGTATCCTGATTTTGTTTTTTAATCTTTGCAGAAAATCAGTCTATAACCATGATATTTTTTAACTATACCAGTACTATGCACAAAATCATTTAAAATATCTCACTGGTATCAAATGGAGCAAGGCTTCCTTTTAAAAACTATGACTAATGAAGGCTATTTGTTCTAAACTGAATTTGCTAGATAAGATGGTTGTACCTCATCCCCCTTCCTTTTCTTTTTCTTTTTGAGACAGATTCTTACTATGTAGCCCAGGCTGACCTCAAACTTGCCATCTTCCTGCCTCCTTGTATCTCATTCTTATACACTGACATTAAAATGCAGGGAAAAGGAATTACAGCTACAAAGTAATTAACAAGTCAGACCACACACTAACAAGGCTGGATTAGGGCCTTATTTCTTCTAAGAGTCTTGCTAACCCTAGTGACCAAGAGTCTCCCACAGGGTTTACCAAAAAAGCAGCTGCCCTACCTCAAACCTAAACGAAGCTTCAAATAAGTGGAAACTTGACATTTCCAGATTCTTATCACCACATAAAACTAAAACAAATTCTTTACTGCCCAGGATATTCACTGCAGTTTCCAGCAGTTATGGTCATTCAGGGTTCTTGAACCAGCCCACGCTGGACAAGATCCTTGCTTCTCCTGTTCCAGCTCACCACTGGCTCTGGACATTTTCCCTGCTCAAGTACTAAGAAGTATTTGAATGTAGAGATAAAAGCTGAAATGTTAAATTCTCATAGACAATTCTAGTTTAAAAAAAAAATCTGTAGAGAAATCCATTTTGCTTTTGAATGGTATTTTATGGTGCAGCCTCCTCCCCTACCACTACCAAAAATTGGCATTCCTTCCATGTACTCCTACTTTTTCTGTTTTAACTCTGTCCTTATCATCTCATATTGTCATTGTGACCTTTTCCTCCACCAGAAGACAAGAGCCACACCTATTTTTCAGTCAGCACCCACCACAGTCCATAACACATAGTACGGTCTTTACAAATATTTACTGAATTTTATTTTTGCCTTATCCCCTATTGGATAATCACTATTTAATTAAACTTGTTCTCAATCCAGTCACAGGGAAAGAATGATTTTATAGAAATCAGTTACCGGGTTATGGATGACATTTTGAAGGTTGTTTAAGGATAACATAATTCTTTTCCAATTTAGTGTAGCTTTTGTTGACTGGAATCTCTTTTCAGTGAGTAAGATTTTAACTATGTTCCATTTAAAGGTTATCCAGATTATTTGCCCTGTGTAAAATCAAAATGAAAAGAAAAACAAGCATGCATTATTTTTCTTCATATTATAACTTTTCTGTTTAAATTATTATTTTATGGATATTTGCCAAAAAACAATGTTATTACAAAGATGTAACCCCCATTCTTACTAGAATATTCATTTAGTAAATTTTGGATTATAAGTGTAGCAAATATTATAAAAATACATCAGTAGAAAATTTCTAACATGGAATTATTATTATTATTTTGGTACCGGGGATCGAACTGAGGACCTTGTGCTTGTGCGGCAGGCACGGTGCCACTGCGCTAAATCCCCAGGCCTCTAACATAGAATTATTATTGAAAAATACTAAAGTAGAGGCTAAGGGTATAGCTCAATACTGAGTGTGGGCTTAGGATCCTGAGATCCTAGGTTCACACACACAAAATAAAATGATGACAAATACTAATTAAACAATTCTGTACAGAAGAAGTACTCACTTAATATTTCTTGTTTGTAAAATGAGACTAATAACAGTCTTCACATGATGGGTATGATAGATTTGTTCTGAAGAATCAATAAGCTAAAACAGTAGAACAGTGATTACTATGTGTTGGCAATTATAATTAACAGAAAGGGTTGCTCTTTCTCCTCCAAATTAAATAAATCAAGGGGGAGAAAAAATTAATAATAATAAATCAAGGGGGAGAAAATAATAAAATACTATTTTCTCTGTTGCTAAAAGGTGAAGGGAATGCATCAAATACATTTTTAAAGATAAAAATTTCCAGAACACTGCATTAGATAGCTTAGGGAAAACTTGACTGTGCGCAGAACTAAAAGAGAAACAACTGAAAGAGAAACCAAACTAGAGTATCCTTCATTTTACTTTCGGCAATCCTCTCAAACTGTATGGGAAGGTGCACTGACCAGATCTATTATTTCTTCTTTATTGGCAGAAAAAAATGCATCCCTCTCGGTTTACCACCTAAATTACTGTCCCACTAACTCACCTGTTTGTCAAAACCTCAATAATTTTTGTTGAGCAGGAAACAGGAACAAAGAGCAAAAAGAATGGAAAACTGAGTTGCTATGGCCACATTCATAATGTATGTCACGAACAGACTGGTCCAGTTTAAGCCTTGTGGCATTCAACAGTCTGCCCGAAGCACCCAGACAGGTCCGCTGTCACCGCACTTAGTTTCCCAAGAACTAGACACTCGGGTTTTAGGACGGTCACGGGGTCCCAGGGGGCTTGCATTAGAGAGATGCTCAGCACTGCGATCAAATGACTCAGCGCCTGAAAGCACGCACTTGGAGTCACGGAGAGCAACAGAAGTCTGTGCTTAGAAATGCCTGGAAGAAACTTGTCTCCTCCTCCGTTCGGCGGTGGCGCTCAACCAGGGCCAGGAGGGAGCAGGTAGACAGCAAACGGGGGTGGGAGTGGAAGGGCAAGCACCGAGGAGACACCCCAGCCTACCCCGGCCAGAGCTGTCCAGGGAAGAGTAGGACTCCAGACGACCTCATTTTCCTGGCTCGCCTCCGGCAGTCTCCACTCCCCCCGTCGCCGACGGGATGCCTGAGCCCGGTCCCATTCACCAAACTCTGATTTAGGGACAGCAACGTCCCGATCCTTCCTCGGCCAGCACGACAGCCAGGGCAGTAACGCCCCTGGCCACTGCCACCACTGAAGCCAGTGCCACCCGACTTACCCGGACTGAGATCGTAGGCCCTCCGCCCGGGAGCTATTTGTCCGCGGAGGAGTGCTGTCCGGCCGGATCCTGCGTCCAGGCGTCTACGGGAAGTGAGGGAAGTCAATCCGCGAGCGTTTCCGATTTCCCGCTCCCTCGATCCGCAGTCGGCTCGACGTTCCAGTCAGAACGTCGTCGTGCTTTTGTGTACAGCTAGCGGGGCCGGGACGCTGGCTACCACCCGGCAAGGCCTCCTGCACGGCCTCTGGGGACTGCGACGGCGACCGGCTTCCTGTGGGAAGAACAGAGAGGAGCGCAGAGAGTGTGCGTTTAAAAAGTTCCTGGGCGGACCTGGCGGCCCCGCCCGGGTGGCGGAGTTGGAGGTGGGAGGGAATGGAGGGAAGAAAAAGGAAGTTGTTCTTCAGCAGGCGGGTTCCGCCCGCCCCCACCGCTCGTTCCAGTCTCTGGGGTTTGGGAGCGAAGATTGGGACTGGTACCTCCCCCTGGACCCCGCAGCGGCCAAGGTTTTCGCTGTTTGCGTCCTGATCTACTTTAGATCAGAGTCCGCACAGCGTAAGGTAATCCGACCTTAGGCCGTTCCTCTTCACCTTCGCCCTTAGTGCGTAGGGGAAATGGGTTCAGTACAGCTAGACTGTCCCCAGCCCAAAGCCTCCGTCCAGTTAGTAAAACGGGGACGAACAGCCACTGTGAATTAATCACCAGTTCTCTTGTGTGGTTGGAGTTTTCTAAGTTGGGTACTACCTTAGAAAACAGTTTAAACTATATGGAGCATAATTTTGAACATATCACATTCTCAGTTCCCAGCTTCTTAGTCGGGGACCCACATTGGCTAATAATTTGACCCATTAACTAAAAACATCAGAGAGAAATACAAATAAAGTTACAGGGGCTAATTTGAACGGCTGGTTGTGCTGTATACTGTTTATTTTGTATTAAGGACCTCAGTTATTATTCGCTTTACTTTTATTCAAGTATGTTTTGAAAGTCATGTTTTGGTTTCTCCGCTGTGGACTTTCTCCTCCTTGGCTTTTGTTTCTAATTATTTAAATTTGAAGAATACGAGCATACTCGTGTTTTTATTCACTATAACTTCCTCTTCCTCCTCCCCTCCACTCCCCGCTCCATTTTCTAAGTTTGATTCATTCTTCAAGTAGCTGAGTAGTTGAGTAGCTGATACTGCCTTCGATTGTGTGTTTTATCTATTCTACTAGATTGTAAGTAGAGGAAAGAAACTTGACTTACACATTCTATGAGGCCTACTAGAATGTGTTCCATGAGTTAGATACCTAAATATTAGGTTGATAGGTCATTGATAAAGTGAAGAGTAGTTGAATATCTACAGTTCTGCTTGGTTCTAGCTAGGACTTCTTTTATGAAGTCAAAATAAGTTGAAATGAATATATCTCAGTGCTGTAAGGCTTCCAAGTTGAAGGTACAGCTAATGCAGAAATGAGAGTATATTCAGGATGTCAACATAGTAGATGAAGGGAAAATGATAAGAAGTTATGGGAATGTATAAGATCATGTAGGATAGATGGAAAAAATGACCTAGGACAGAGCCCTGGGGAGATAAAAGGCCAATAAAGAAAAAAGCAACAGTAAAAGAGACTGAGAAGGTGCAGCCATGGCACCCTGTTGAGAGTGATGTCACAGAAGCCAAGAAAAGAGCAACAGCCAAGATTCAGCAACATGGAGGTCATTGTTGACTAACTGACACGGGTAGAAAAATGTAAGACAAAGAAGTGGTAGAAATAATGACCATAAATACTTTAAGATTTTTTGCTGTGGAGAGGAAGTCAGAAAGACCATTGTAGTTGAGGAAGCTGTGGGGTAAAGGAAAGATTTTCATTTTCTTGTTTTTGTTTCAAAGACAAATATTGGTGGCTTTTCATCTTCTTAAAAGTGAGCTACAGTAAGAACATCTAGGGCCGGGGATTTAGCTTGGTGTGCCACTGCCTGCATCGCAAGTGCAAGGTCCGTGTTTGATCCTCGGTACCAAAAAAAAAAAAATCTACCTTTATGACTTGTTAGATATTTAAAATTATAGAAATAAAAATTTCACAAAACAATATTATGTATAAAACAATACTTTGCGTTTAAGAAAAATACTATTTATAATCCACAAGGTGGTGGTGCAAGACCCATCAATGAGTTGTAATGTGAAATTTGGAAACTACTGTCAGAGGTGTATTGGAGTTGGCTCATAGTGGCTTGTGAGAGCCAATTTTGCACATTTCTTACATATTGATACCTTCAAATTAGTTGCTACAAGTTAGCATTTTTCCCCTTTTAAGAACCAGATTTTAATTTTTTTTTTGGTTAAATTCTTTTATTGGTACATTTTAGGTATACAGTAAGTTTACGTTTATCATTGGGTGCTTGTACCTACCTGTACATGATGTATCTTGGTTCTTATTTTTTCCCCATTACCTGTGCGCCCTTCAAGGTTTTAGTATTTCCCAGCACATTGCTGACTGTACTCATGTGGGTAACCTGAGGAGAGGAGAAACTGATGATGGGCATTGGTGAAAGGATGGACAGAGTGTTTCTTGAGATGACTTTGCCCCCAAAACAGGAATAAGAGTTAGAAATTCCAATTCAGAACAACAGCATGATGGTGTAAATGATATGCCGTAATTAAGACAACTAGAAGCCGAGTGTGGTAATCCCAGCGGATTACTGTGGGAGGCTGAGGCAGGAGGATTACTGAGTTTGAGGCCAGCCTGGGCTACATAGTGTTTTAATTTGCACAGAAGTACATTTGGCCCAATCTTGACTGCAAAATGAGCACAGATTACCCAAAACTTCCTATTTCCATGCTTATATCCATTTTTTTTTCTATAATTCAGCTATTCTTTTAGCCATTTTCAGCTGGTTAAACATTTTCTTCACTGGTTTTTTTTTTTCACACTCAGTTTGTCTCTAGATAGTTTTTTTTCTATGGGTGTGCTTTTTCTCCAGTGATAAATCAAATCTATATAAAAGAAATGGTGGGCCAGGGATTTAGCTCAGTGGTTCTGCCGCCTGCGTTGAAAGCAGAAGGACCCAAGTTCGATCCCTGGTACCAAAAAAAAAAAAGAAAAGAAAAGTGGTTTCGCTCTAGCCTCCATTTCACTGGTGCTTGAATTAGATCACAAGGAAAGCAGGCGTGGTAGTCAAAGGGTGGAGGGATACTGTCTTCTGCACCAGCCAAGTGCTTCCTGGTAGCAGAAATGGACTTTTGAATCTGCATGATTAGGCAAAAAAATCGTCTGGATTTGACATCCACAGGCAGGAACCCATGTTTCACATGCAGTCTGTATGTCATCACCCTCTTAATCTGTAGAACAAATTCATCAAACTCTTAAAATAGTAGTGGAAAGCTTTTGGCCTAGGTCAGATTATGGTCCAGGGCTTGGAATTTTAGATCAACAGCTCTCCTGGAGTCCTGTTCTTCCTTACCTTTGAAAACCTGGCCAACATGCATTAATACACCCATTTTATAGATACTGCGGACAGAGGTATAACAAGATGTCGCTCCCAGAGTCACAGCCACTCAGCTTGAGAACTCTCCCTGACATGGGTTTGGCCCTAAGAGCTGTCCCTCCTGGTAGATTCCAGGTCAGCCGCTAGCACTCCTCTTGGGAGAACAGGCTCAGGCCATAGATGATAGGAAGCTGGGCTTTTTGTGGAACTGGGGCCATTTGTTAGTGTAGGACCTTGGGTACAGTTTAAGTCCAATTTGACCTGACATACCTTTAGGCAGTGTACTTGTTTAACCCTAGCAGCCCCTCTAATGGGTGGCAACTCCTGAGGGAGCCCCATCCCCTCCAACCCCAGAGTTCTTCAAGGACGAATCACAAAGGTTTGGGAAATGGAACTGAAAATGGACACTAGTTCAGGCATTAGAGCTGGATTCGTTTAGAAACTAGGTGTGTTTTGAAGAGGTGAAGGCAATGAACATTAAAACTCAGTACAATCCCAATGCTCCCATGCCACCTTCAGCCAGTTTCTACCATCCCACAACCTGGGGGAAGGGAGAGTTGTCCCTTACGGTGAGCAGACAGCTGCCAGGATTGACACTTGCCTGCAGGATACAGGGACAGGTGCAGCTGAGAGATGGGGTCTGGCAAGGTGCCCAGTGACTGCATTCAGAGGGTGTTTAACCCAGCTCTCAGGCCTGGCCAAACAGCAGGGCCCTTCTGGTTTTAATGCAGCGAGTGCTGGATATAACAGGTAGCATGGTTTCGTGGGTTGATGGTGTGCCACAGGGGTGCAAGTACCCAAGGTCCCCAGCTGCCTCCTGAAGCCTTATCCTGTAAGCCCACACTCCTCTCCCTTGGATTCCACACCACCATGCTGTGGGGCAGTAATATGTTGCTTTAAAAGACAGGCTCACACCTGGCTCACTCTTCAAACACAAGTGCCATCCCCGCTTCCTTGGGAAACATTCAGTTTGAAAGCTGAGACACATTTGTTTGAGCTCTTTTCAGAGTATCTTTAGTTGTACAATTATGGCTACCTCCAAGTCCTGAGTCAATGTAAAATGTTAACCTTTCATGGTCATTATGACTTTGGGGAAGACACAAAAGTTGCACTGTGCCACCTCTGATAAATAAGGTGAATGAAGACATACCATGATGTTTCTACAAGCCTGCCTTTCTGTTGGATGATGCTTGGCAACAGCATTCACTGTTCTTAATCCCACTTTGCAAAAACTAAAAAAAAAGACTTCTAGAATTGCTTCAGAAAATGGCAAGAACAATGGGATAAGTGTTTTGAAGCAAGGGGGAGTATTTAGAGGTAAATTAATGGCAATGTGTCTTTTGCTCTAATAAACTTTTATTTTAGTTTATTAGTACATGTGTGTAATCATAGTTACATTCCCTGTGTGGAGTTGGTACATGTATATAACACATTCCAGTTCCTTTTCTCGTCCCTTATCCCTTCCCTCCATCCCCGCTCCCTCCTTCTCCTGATCCCCTTCCTCTTTGAGAACGCTCTATTTCCTTCCT